GGTGATAGTTTGGAAGAACAAATATGCCACTCAGTTATGTTTTTTTTTTAATTTCACGCTGACGGATTCGCGGGCGAAATCTTGTTAGGTATAATGAACTTATAAATATACTAGTTTAGTACATATAAGATTTTTGTTATAACATAAGAGCAAGCGGCCACCTCAATCCACCGAAATGGAAAGCGACCGCTGCCCATAAACATCCGCAATTGCATTTGTGTTGCCTACCCTTAATTGATGGAGGAGGAGACGCACATAAGATGTATTTTAACTAATATTAACTAAATATTGTTAACGTCAACCGCGAAATTATACAAACAATATGAAATATATCACTTTTAATACTTATTTGTAACAATTGTTGGCTTTGTTTGTTGCAATTGTGTTATAAAGATTTTACATTTATCTATAATTTTAAAACGCAAGAATTCCTTGAATCATGGATACCTTCTTTTAATAATTATTAAGTTTGTTTCTTCATAAATAACTAGCTTAAACAGAAAACTTACGGATACGGAGTTAGGAAACAATAATAAGAACAAATTGGCTACGTGACTTACTACAAAAGGTACAGTTGTCAAAAAATCTACGAACCACACAGATTAACTAATAAAGTCAGCTTATTTGATTCCAGAAGCTAGTCCTGGAAAAATATTAATCAATTTCATAAAAAAGATAAGCAAATTTTTTGTTAATATATAGTAAGTGATGCTTATAATTAAGTTACTATAAAAAATATATTGACAACTTACATTTAAATATACCATTTGTGTCCAAAATCAAATTCGTCACAACGCATTACAAACCACAGACGATTAAAACAATCATTTGAAGCACTCAATCAACGATTTAATGATTTAAAAAATGTGCACCCACTTTAACTGCACACCACAGACTGCAATATACCTGAACCAATCGGTACAGATAAAAAAAAAATATTTTTGACAAATGTGTTTTTGTTCCCTTGTCAAAAATGTTGAGCGCATCGACCCCCTACCGCTTTTACCCTCACAAAATATATTTACGATTCCAATAAACACAAAGCACTTGTAAACAGTTGTAGTAGAGTCTATTTTTCTATAACTTCGTCAAAAACAAAAGCAAATTAGTCATTTGATTGACATGCGTTTCTGCGAAATGAAGTACATTACAATTATGTACCGTATCTTAGAGTGTTAAAGTTTAATTTACAATACAAAAATTGATAATCATTGTAAAGAATTTAGTCATTTTAAAGAAATGTTTACCTGAATCCAAGATAAGGCTAATCAGTTATGTATTGTTTGGTCTTTAAAATGACGTAAATGATACTTCGCCACGCCTGGTTTTTTTATTAAAACGATCGGTTACTTTTACTTTTTTGCCCCATTTTATAACCCTGTCATAACAAGCAAGTAGTACCATAAAATATGTCAAGAATCAAAGGGATCCAAAAAGGGCAGGAGTAAAACGATAAGGTCGTAATTTATATTACGATTTCTTTAATGCTGGTAATGCTTTAGTAGTGGAAGGTATTCCATTGACTTTAAGAGGGGGCATACCTTTGATTAAGGTATTGCACATCTGTGTGCGATTGTCGATTGTTTCGTAGCCATTCAACTGTTTAGTTGCACAACTAAAAATCGAGTAGTGTGAGCACCTCTATATAAGATCACAGGAATCAAAACGCAACTAAACACTTGTGCGGTAGTTTCAAAGATGTGCGCGCGCTGTAGGAATCATTCGGAGATGTTACATTTAAATGCTGTGGGTACTTTCCCATCAGTATCTTGGGCGATTGCCTAAATTTAAATGACTTGAAGAGTGCTTATAGAAATCTTAAATCAATGCAGTATGATATAACCGTCCAACACTAGATTACCCGCCATAAAGCCTGTCAGCTAACATACGTCAACATTAAGACATATATCAACGTCCACAGATAAGATATCTTAAAAATCCAAGCGTATTGTTTATTCTATGATGCGTTTGATTATCGCGTCCATCCGGAGTCCCCGTTTATCGTGAAATATACTCGTAGTAATAGGAATCAACGCTCGAGTCATTGTATAATTCCGGATATATCTGAATCAGCTGTTACGAGAAGTGTTAACTCATCGTGTTATCTACTTGTTTTCATATTCATGAATTGGATAAAAAAAAAATATTTTAGTACACATGTTACTACAGATTAGTAGATAATAATTTTATTAAAATCTGTAGAATTGATCACGTTCTTGATTTTGTTTATTTGCTTGTTAATTTTTTAACTCATATTTATCTGTTTGTTAACTTTGATTCTGTACTTTCATTTGTTATATTGCTATGTTTTTAACGTTACAAAAGAAGAAATGGTTCTAACAATTCTGTAAGTATGTCGTGAGTATAACCTAACTGCCGGTTTCTCAGATACATTTAAACATTCGTTAGTGTTTTTGGGTCGACAACTTCATAAAATGCGTTTCCAAACTTCGTAACATAATTTTAGTTTTATTCCGTTGAAACTTAGGTCAACCTAACACTAATCACTAGATAATAATTAAATAAATGGGAACTTTAGCAACCCAGCATAAGTACAGCTTCATTGCTATGCGTGACTTTATCTATCGTTAAGCAAGCGATTTCACTATCTCTCCAAAGTTTGTTTATCACTGACGGAAACGTGGTGAAATTATTATCTACAGAAGATTTATTGACGTTACGAATAGTATTTAGCGAGTTCCCGCTAAAATGTTTGTTTACTCCTGAGGTTTCTATTTATTTCAGACGTTGCACCTCGTTTGTTTTAGAGTCACGGATTTATTAAATGCTTGTTGACTAAGAGACTTCACTTTGTGATTTAAAGAACAATTGAAGACTGTATTGCCTAAGAAGGAAGCAGCATAGAAGAAAGAAGGAAATTCCCTTTTAGAGATGTCTGTTTCATTCTGAATATCGAAGATACAAATATTTTAGAGAGTTTGGTAAAAATTCTCTTAGTTTTGCTGTTGCTAATACTAAAAGCACTTATTCTTCGTATTAAAAATGTAATTTAAATATGAAACACTAACAGAACTCCATATTATTAGTACTAAATCGTCGTAAAATTAAACTAGTTTGTATCTAAGCTACAAAACCGATATATAAATAACATAAAAGTAAAAATATTTACCATCTCAATATTTGAATACGTAACCAAATTCGAGTCAGGAGCTGAATAATGGAATGCGTATGTCACAAATAATAAAGAGTGACTTCGTCCCTAGTCCTTTGCGCCTATTAAAGGATAATTTAGTTTATATTGTCATCGAAAAGCAATGGAATAGCATGGACATTCCAAAGAACGCTTTATAAATCATTGAATACTTATAACAGATGTAAATCGAAATTGTTGTGATACAGAAAAAACTTATTTTAATCCGAATTTTAATCATATTAAAATACTGGCATAGTGTGTAAATACTACAAAAGCCTTTAAAAAAGATACTTAAATTTTATGTATTTGATCATTATTAAATTACTCGATAAAGCAGGTCCATATTATACAAACGCTACATGTATGAATAGCGGTCAATTGAGTGGGATTTGGCTTCATCTTAGCAGCTGAACTTTGCTACGTCGAAGTTATACAGTGAGATGAAACTTAAACTGCATAATTTTATTGGATATTTTAGCCGACGTATACTGTCATTTCAAAAATAAGCACTAATTTAAAATAAACTAAATTAAAACAGATCTTAGTTATTGTAAACACTACCATTAGATGTAGAACTAGAAAGAGATGGACGAGGATGATGAGATGGATTGAGAGGTGACATGATCAAGAAATTAGTGACGACTGAGATGACGGAAAATAGACTTATCAATAGGAGGAAAACCTGGAGCGCCGACCTTACGGGAGTAGGATAAGGAAGAGATGATGATAAAGATGATGATGATGATGATGGTGCTGATGATGATGATGATTATAATGATAATGATAATGATGATGATGATAATGATAATAATGATGATAATGATGATAATGATAATAATGATGATGATGATGACGGTGATGCTGATACTAACGATGATGATGATAATGATTAGCTTTGTAAAATTATATTTCAACAAATTATATTACGTCACGAAATAATACTCAGATTTTTTTAAGTAGTTAAGAATCTAGTTGTAATTTTTATTTTATTACGATTAGCTATAATCTAACCTTGATAAATTCATCAAAAATTCGTAATACAAAATTACAAAATGAAATAGCAGCTGTCTGTTCATTAATACAATAATTATCGTTACAAATATTTGTATTGAAAGTGGCAAAATGTTAATTTAATGCAAATAAAAGGCATTAATATCCAGTGTAATTGGCACCGTTACCTTCGAGAAATATTATTCAAGCTTAGCAAAACTAAACATCCTGTAAATGTGGGACAAACTGCGCTGCAAGTATGATTAATAGTTTCGTGGGACAGGTCAGGACTCGAGCGTCGCTGTGATGGCCTTGGCCTGAGATCATATGAAGTTAAATTCTTGTATAGAACTTAAAGTAAAAAAAAAACAACAATTAAAAAACAGAGTTAAATAAAGGAAAATAATTGAAATACATTTAGAATATTTTAATACTGCGCTAAAATATATTTCTAATTGTACACGATGTGTACAAGTACATTTTTTATACTTAGTGTTTATTTTTAAAGAATTAAACCCTTTATTATAATATTATTATTATATAGACCTTGAAAAATAAATTTAAGTTTTTTTTTAGTAAAAATGTAGACGTAATTTGTACATTTGTATTCTTTTTCATAAAACTTTAAATCAATAAACGCATTTTGTGATTTAAAATTATTACGCAAGTTCAGATAAGATGTTATTATTTACCATCGTTCAGGGTCTAGGTAAAGTTTAGAGGAAAGAGAATTATAGACAAGTAAGGAATTTTTCAAGGACATATATCTCGTAAAGAAGTTTATTTTGATAAGATAACTAATAGCCCTAATGATCACCGACTTTCAAAATTAGATGACACATTAAGAAAGATTTACCTTCGTACATCTGCGCATACTGAGGGAAGCCGGCCGCTCGCAGCCATTTGCACGCCTCCGCCGCTTCGATCTCTGCAACAAAGAACATACAATCAAACAAACAAACTCGTTATAACATTTCCTTAGCACCATTACAAAACAAATAATAAAATAAACATACGAAGAAGAATACGTGACATGAGAAACTTCATTACTCTTCTAAGCTTAGCTATGAAGTCTTTCCAGACTCGTCGTAATAGTCACGTATTATTTACTTTTCCCTGATTGCTACATACTTTACACATCGGTAGCAAGGGGATATCCACAGCCGTTCTCTCATAACCTTCGCCGTAGAATCTTACTAATATAATAAATCTGAAGGTTAAAAGAAATGTTTGTTAGAGTTTGTATCCTTAACGGCTGAACAGATTTCAATAAAATTTAGCATAGATTTTGAGCATAGTCTGGAAGAACACATAGGCTACTTTTGTTTAGTCGCAGCCAATAGTATCATTATAAATACTTTTCCGTAACCATAACTAACTAAATCAGGTTACTCCAAACACAATTTGTATGCAACAGTATGACGTATGCTTTCCCTTTGATAGCTTACAAAGATTTAGATGCAAATTATAGAAAAAGTTGTAACTAATAACTTGTTTTAAACGTTTCATTTCGACATGGGATTTGATGTTAGATATATCAGCAACACCTACATTTTCCGATGGAATGCAGGTTATTTTGATGTTCAAATTATATTTTACTAACGTGTAATGTAATTTAAAACCACCTATCTCATGTCAGATAACCCAGATTAAATACGACTGGTTTATGTTTTATATGCTGACGATGGGGACATAAACCAGAAAGTATTAAGAATGAATGTGGATGGCTACAAAGGAAGAGGAAGACCGAAGAAAGTATGAATGGATTGTGTAAAAGAGGATATGCTTAAGAAAGAAGTGGATTCAGATGACGGCTGATAGAGTATGGAAGAGCAGCACATACTGTGCCGACCCTCCATAAGGGATAGAGGCAAATTGATGATTATGTTTAATATACTGTTTGAAATCTTAGTTACCAATGTATATCATTCTAACTGTTGCTCGAAACTTCGTCTGTGTGAAATTAAATAAAGAAGTTATGAAAAAACCTAGCTTATCTTAACGTAGATTTTTAATGGTGAAATAGTTATGGAAATAGGCCCAGTAGTTTTTAAGTTATTACAATACATGCAAAAATACAAATCTTTCTCTTTATAATGTTAGTATAAATATACTTACTACATAGTGGCACTATAAGATTTGAAACCAGATCTATCATAAATAACATTATCTTTACTTAATATTGGAAATGATTGAAATTGCTTCACCAGTCTTTAAATTAAAATTGCGTGAAGTAAAAGGGTATTTGTAAATTCATCAATTATTTTCATTTTCACTTGAAACAAAACACTTTTAATGATTCAAGACACAGATAAAAAAATCAAACATATCCTTTTCATAATATTAGTTTACTAGCTGTTCCCGTGCGGCTTCATCCGCATGAAACTATGAAAATTTTATGTCATTGTTTACATTTGTCAAATTATCAATAGCAAATATCAAAGTGACATGACATGACAAACCTTAGCAATCTTTCTTGATGTGTTGCCAACATCAACTTATGGTCTCTTTCCCACATTAGGGTTTTTATCCAAAATATTTACCCCCTAAGTTTAATGGCGCGAAAATATATAGCCTAAAGCATGACGTAAATGTAGGGCTTTTTGTTAAAAAAAGGGTTATTGAAAAATATGCTGTAATTGCTGACATCTTAGGCAACAAAGAAGTGTGTGTTTACGCTTTATTATATTAGTATAGATATAATAATAAAAAGATTTTACAAAATTAACAAGGAAACATTTTAAATCAGTAACATTGATAAAAATAATTTATCTGTAGTCTTCAACAAATTTTAACCATTAAGGAACGCAAACATTGCAAGTTGATTATTATTTACAGTTGGTATGTACAAACAAGTCATTACTTAATGCAATATCTCCAAACAAAAAATAAAAACACTGGTAAGGAATAACTAGTCTATCTTACTAATCTTACTAATATTATTAATGCGAAAGTTTAGATGGATGGATGGATGTTTGTTAGCGTTTGTAAATTTGGCACAGATATAAAACAAAGTCTGGAGTACACATGGGATAAGGTTATCCCCGAGAAACGTCCAGTTCCCGAGGGATACGTAGCTATTTGTTATTTACATACTTAGTATGTTTTCTAATACCACGGGAACGAAGTCGCGGGCAACAGCTCGTATACTATAAATAATATTCTCAAGCGTACAACAATTTTCGAACGTCAACAAACAAAATGTTGCCAAGTAACATTTACAAACGAATCTTTAATTGCTTCAGTTATGGAACAAAAATGTATTCCATAAGAAAATGGGTTTCGTCACGTTCCGAGTAACTTATAAATATGGACACGTTAGTTTTTATTTTAAAACATATAATGATCCTAACCACTTTGAAATATTATGTCAGTACGTTGTGTTTATTTTTTTTTTAAAAGAAGGGGGCAAACGAGCGGCGGGAACACAGAGGCGGTCAACGACGCCCATGGACTTCCGCAAGACCAGAGGAACTACAGATGCGTTGCCGACCTTTGAGGAAATTGTAGGCGCGCTTCTTGAAAAACCCTATGTCGTATTGATTTGGAAATGCCACCAATTAAATCTGGTAATTAATTAGAGAAGCTTGGCAATCAATAGTTTTAAAAGTGCTAGCTTATCCTGACTGGTAAAAGAGTCCCTCCTGTTTGTTCTGTCAAAAAAAAAATGTTAAAACAAAAGCATAGAAAATAACATAAAATAAAAAAAAAAACACGACAGCTACAGTACTACAAGTATCTTGTATTTTTGACCAGTTAGTGAGCTATCACAATTGATTACTATATAGACTATTTAGTAAAAAAAAACCTACACAAATAAGTTTAAAACCTTACTGTTACCAGTTTAATATTCTTTATTTCAATACCGTTAAAAACAATAGCATAGTACCAAGATAAAACATTTTAAAAACACTATTTTAAATTGCAGAACCATAACATAGAAGCGCATTTTTATTTATTTTAAAAACTGTTCCACTAACAAAGAACTAAGAATTGTTTGTATAGAAACGGGTATAAATTGAACAAGCAGGTTTTAAACATCTGTTATATGTTTTTGCGTCACAACTGCAAACCCATTTGTTGTAGTCAGAAAAACTTTGATGCAATATTAATTGCTTGAGTTTCCCAGCTGCAAAAGATACATTGCAGCTATTCGAATTCTTGTTTAGCTACTGGAAATTTATTGGTAGCGAAAATTAAATATATAAAAATCTATGTTAAACCATACAAGAGTAAAGCAATGTTGATTTTATTTGAAGATGAACAAGACATTCTGAACTATCTAGAAAAGCTACAAATCAGAGATAGTTAGTGTAGTTTTAGTTAGTTTTTCACAAGCCTTTAAAAAAATTAGCTAACTATAATAATATAATGAACGATAGTAATCTTTCCATTAACGATATTATAATAAACTGACTGGTAATAAATTAATTTCATTTGTAGATAGAAACATAATAGAAAAAAAGTTTACAATACTGACGACCCTAAAACCCGAATAAATTATGTATGACATTTCCGTGAACATACTTGTTAAAAATCCTTAAAAAGGCAATCTAAATGTACACCCTAACACTTACTCAAAAGATCTACAATTCCAAGAAAAAATTAAAAACAAAAGAAAGTGTCAAAATAATCCCTAAACTAGAAAAATTAACTCTATCAGTTTAAACATAAAGTTGTGTATGTAACGATGTTAATCATCGATAGTTCTAAAGACAACTAACACTGGCAGTTGAGACGATAAAAAGCGTTTTAAAAGCAAAGAAAAAAAATATTTAAGTACCTGTTATCTGGTCGGCGCTTAAATTAGGTACACTCATTGCTCTCACTTTTAACGTAAACTGTACACAAGAAAACGATTGCCACGTACACGACCGCACATCTTTAGAGCCACTGATTCATAGCACTTTCGTAATGAACACTAATTAACATTTTCGATACAAATTATCGACTTTTCGAATCGATACACAACCGTCTACTTGCATACGATGTTACACTACTACTAAAAATAAAAATTGCGATTAACTCACTATAAAAAACCCAATTCGACGTTTACAAGATTATCTGAATAACATTAACGGTATAAGAGCTTTAAACATCGAATTTATAACGATTATGATGCATCAGCATAAATGTTTACGCATTCCGATTGACACTTAAAACTGTTGTAAATAGAACACGACAGAAATGTAAATGAAACTGGCTGTTAAATATACTATTCGAAAAAAAAATAACACAGATTATAGTAACAAACGAGCGTGCACTTGAGCCGTTACTCCAGAATGAGATTATCAGTGTTTATCATAACTAGTCGTTACTTACGTCCTTTAATCACCGCATACGTCACCGATAACGTAAAGTGACGCCGAGTTAGGAAAAAAACGACTGTATTTGATATGGCAATTTTGTTTATGTTGTAAATAATTGTATACACTATAAAAGGTAAGACACGATGATTGCATAAATGATTGATTATTCAATTAAAATCACCCTTAAATTACCTTGTAAGTGTTGTAATTATTAGTGGTGATCGGTTTAAATCGTGGTGGGTCTCGGAAATTTTCTCAGAAGTGCGGAACGTCATTGTGATGTCAGATGATTCAATCAATTCATTCATGCTTCATTCACCGGAAACGAATCAACTAAAGGACTTATTTTAACAATTTTTAGTTGCCAAATCGAAGTGCATTAAAGTAGACAGATCAAAGACTCTGTTTTAACCTATTTCAAATTAAACGTAACAATTTACGAGAGTAAAGAAGAAAGTATTTTTGAATATGGCAACATAAATAGCAAGGTCTCGTACCTTATGTAACCTTGGGTATGTAAAAAGAATAAGATAGCTACACAAACTTTGTCTAAATCTATCGCAAAACAGTTGTGCGATTGTCAATTGTTTCGCATGCTATTCAACTGTTTAGTTGCACA